AGTATTTGGGCTTGTCATACCATATACCAACATGGAAAGAGATGCAGTTTGGAACATGGGGAAAAACCTTTCCATATCCCAGATCCCCATCACTTGCAGGGTGATTAATGTTAATTCATCATTTTAGTAATGATATCCCACTTTTAAAGCCTTGGTTATTGTCCCTAACAAAGCTTCTCAGATGTAAGTACCTCCGAGTAAGGTAAAAATGTTTCTCTTTATTTATTTTTTTTTTCCTCTTGACTTTTTGTCTCACGGTATGCCTTTTCCATTTTTATTCTGCAGTTTGCCATGTGGGTGGATGCTGTTATATTTGTCTTCAGCTTGGAAGATGAGATTAGCTTCCAGACTGTTTACCACTACTACAGCCGTATGGCGAACTATCGTAACACTAGTGAAATTCCAATGGTACTAGTGGGAACCCAGGGTAAGTGCAGCCTTGATTTACAAATCTTATTGCTCTGATGGTATAGGCTGGTTCCAAGCCTCCTCTTTTGCATCAGTTCATCGGGATGGTGAGAGCTTGTGGATAAAACTGGCAATCAGTGGGGTGGTGGTCTCCCATCTGGACGTCCTTGGCTGGCCAGGGTGTTGCAAGGAATGGTTTGAGATGGGAGACAAATGTCCATGTGGTCCTCTTGGAACAGGGAGTATGGGACTTGAGTAATGATGATTTAGAAGAATATTTAAAAAAAAACCACACCAATTTTAGTGCTTGCCAGTCATGATGGTCTTCATCATCAGCAGGGAAATGCTGGTGTTGAATTTGGGGAGAAATGAATCACTTTTGTAACAAAGTTCTGAAGTGAGATTGCTCTCCTTTAACTTGGAGAGTGATCTTTAACTCTGGAAGTGATGACTTGGCATTCTGAGGAGGTGGATCAGGTTTCCAAAACCTTCAACACTCTGTGAAGAAACAGAACTAACCGTGCCCTTGCACAATCCCTCAGGTGTAACGTTCTTCAAACCAAATGGAAATGCAGCTTTTCAAAGCCTCCTGCAACAACCCCCCTCCAATTTTGTTTTTCCAAAACCCCTTCTGGAGCAGCAGCTAGCTGCAGTTGGGAATGGGGAAATGGGGGAAGGGAAAGGTACCAGCAATATTTCAGTTTCTTTTACATCTTGAGCTGTCTTTTGGATATTCCCTGCCTTGTTTTGGCAGTGCCTCACGTGAATCTTTCAGCAGTTTCCCACTTTGCTGCAGGGAGTAGACACACAAGAGTTGAGGCTGCTTTGCATGTTCCTCCTGTGATAATTCTTACCAAAAATGAGGAGTTCCTGCGTAGGTGCTGGACTTTGGAACTTTTCACTTTACAGAGCTGCTGTTTTGGAAGATATTTTTGTACAGATATTTTTGTGAGTGCCTTCACACTGAAGTATTGCACTCCGTGTATCATCAGGTATAGAGAGCTGCTCTTGTGCATTTTATTTTGGCCATATTCCCTTTTAGTGTATTCACCTCTGATATTGGTGATGCTGAACCTCTTCACTCCTTTTTGAATTTAATCTTTTCTCAGTCTTATGTTTGGAGGGCAGTTTGCTTTCCCCTGCCTGCCTGCAGGGCTGTGACACCAGCGCTGGGCAGCACCCCAGGGAGAAATTGCATCTGGGATTTAGGCGGAAACAGATGATGAAAAATGAAAAGGGAAGTAGGCACACAAAAAGTCCTAGGGCAGCAGAAACTGCAGCCAAAAAGCAGAAAAGAAACTGCTTTGAAGGGCCACGCTGTCAACTTAAAACTGGAGCTGAAAAAGAAGCGTCTCGAGATGAAGCTTGACACTTCTGTGAGGTGCTTCCCTTTCTGCACTTTGGGGTGTGCTTCTCCATCTGATTCTAGTTTTTACTAGAGAGGAATTTGTTTTTCAAAGTTCATTTTCTCTTGCAGCACTGATGCAAAGGGGATTTATTTAAACGTGGCTAAAGGTGGAATCGCCACTAATTCTGGGATTAAGCATCAGAGCAAAGTAAAGCTATATACCATTCTATATGGCTGGCTACACTCACTGTCAAACGCTGCAATGAACTGAAATATATGAAATAAATAAATAAATGCACCTGTTAAAATCATATTTGAAATATAGCTGCTTGACATCCAGCTTGTTGCTTTTCACTGCACCGAATTTGCTTCAGAAGCCAAACTTTTTGAAGGCAATGGTGTTGCTTATCAGTTGGTTTCTGGTTAAATGTTTTCAGCGCCCTCTGCTGACATAAAAAAAGAATAAAATAAAATAAAATCTGCTGTTAACTCTCCCAATAACTGCTCTGGTGTTATTAATTAGGTCTTGTGAGACGTTAGCCACAACATCAGTTGGGTTGTGGTCACGTCACACCCAGAACTGAGCCTCAAATACAGTGTTGCAATAGTCACTGATTTCATGCTCACCTTCAAGTGAGGCTGTTTTTCCGAAAGACAAAGGTAGTTTTGCTACCACAGAAAGTAGCAGATTTTAAGGAAAACTTTCTGAGCATCTTGAGACGCTAAAATCGGTACTTTTTGTGCTGAGGAGGTGACAGTTGCAGGTTGTGCTGCTGTCTCCCCTTAGAGCTTTTTTGCCACAGGTAATAATTACTGTCATACTCCTTGCTGGGGGTAAAAAGTTCCTTTTTAAGATTTGTTCATAGTATTATCACTTATAAATAGTCAAACTGTGTAACCTCTAACTGTAAACCTTCACTATGATGGAATAACCATGAAGAAATTTCTTCATTGGTTAGCATAATTTATATTTTTTTCCCCTGATGTAAAGTCTTTTCCAGCTCCTATGGATAAACTCTAGAAATTGGAGTTGAAAAGCATGCAGAGAGGTACAGAGCATCGTTATTTGTTAAGAAAAATACCATTTTTGTTGGCTTTTGTACTGTGTTCACACACATTAGAGAACATCCTTGGAATGGTTTTGGCACTTTAAGTTCAAAATCTTCTTTCACATGGAAGAAATTCCTTTATACTCTCTAAGATATTACCAAGCTTATGAGGGTGTTTGGGGCTGACCCGTTGGAGAGCAGCTCTGAGGAGAAAGACCTCTGGGAGTCCTGGTGGACAAGAGGAAGACCATGAGCCAGCAAGAAGCCAAGAAGGCCAATGGCATCGTGGGGGGCCTCAGGAAGAGTATGACCAGCAGGTTGAGAGAGGTCATCCTGCCCCTCTGCTCTGCCCTGGGGAGGCCCCATCTGGAGCACTGGGTCCAGTTGTGGGCTCCCCAGTTCCAGAAGGACAGGGAACTGCGCAAAGATGATGAGGGGCCTGGAGCATCTCTCTCACGAGGAGAGGCTGAGGGACTTGGGTCTTTTTAGTCTGGAGAAGAGAAGGCTGAGGGGGGATCTGATCAATGCTCATAAGTACTTAAAGGGAGGGTGTCCAGGGGATGGGGCAGGTCTTTTTTCAGTGGTGCCCAGGGACAGGACAAGAGGAAATGCGCACAAACTTGAGTAGAAGAAGTCCCACCTCAACATGAGGAGGACCTTCTTTGGTGTGAGGGTGGCAGAGCCCTGGCAGAGGCTGCCCAGGGAGGTGGTGGAGTCTCCTTCTCTGGAGACATTCCAACCCCACCTGGACACGTTCCTGTGGGACCTGCTCTGGGTGACCCTGCTTTGGGAGGGGGTTGGCCTAGATGATCTCCAGAGGTCCCTTCCAACCCCATACCATTCTGTGATTCTGTGAATGTCTTGTGGGTGCATTTAAATCAAGGTTTGAGACAGTCATTTCTGCTGAGTTTCCTGGATCCAGTCTTTGGTGTGACTTTGCAAGGTCAGCAGGTACAACCTGTGAAATACATGAAGAAATCTCCGTCCCTTCCCACCCCATGGGATTCTGTGAATGTCTCGTGGGTGCATTTAAATCAAGGTCGTTTCTGCTGAGTTTCCTGGATCCAGTCTTTGGTGGGACTTTGCAAGGTCAGCAGGTACAACCTGTGAAATACATGAAGAAATCTCCATTTTACATTAAACTGGCAGGTGTTTGCCACGTGTGCTGCGGGGTCAGGGGCAGGGGTTAGCAGAGAGCTTTGCTGGTGGCTGGCTGTGCCTGGGCAAAACACTGAGAGAATGGGTCTGGAAAAGGGGAGGGACCCAAAAAAAGCACTTGTGACCATTTTACATTAAACTGGCAGGTGTTTGCCTGGACCCGAGGCACAGTGTGTGCTGCGGGGTCAGGGGCAGGGGTTAGCAGAGAGCTTTGCTGGTGGCTGGCTGTGCCTGGGCAAAACACTGAGAGAATGGGTCTGGAAAAGGGGAGGGACCCAAAAAAAGCACTTGTGAGAAACTGGGGAAAGAGCTGGGCTCTAGATTTTTTTAGCTACAGGATAATTGCAACCCTGTACGACTTCCTTATTTCTTATCTTTACACTGACCACCCTGGTCTTAGCGTTGGCAAGGTGGTTTGTGTTGGGGTGACTCTGGAGACATTCCAACCCCACCTGGACACGTTCCTGTGGGACCTGCTCTGGGTGACCCTGCTTTGGGAGGGGGTTGGCCTAGATGATCTCCAGAGGTCCCTTCCAACCCCATACCATTCTGTGATTCTGTGAATGTCTTGTGGGTGCATTTAAATCAAGGTTTGAGACAGTCATTTCTGCTGAGTTTCCTGGATCCAGTCTTTGGTGTGACTTTGCAAGGTCAGCAGGTACAACCTGTGAAATACATGAAGAAATCTCCATTTTACATTAAACTGGCAGGTGTTTGCCACGTGTGCTGCGGGGTCAGGGGCAGGGGTTAGCAGAGAGCTTTGCTGGTGGCTGGCTGTGCCTGGGCAAAACACTGAGAGAATGGGTCTGGAAAAGGGGAGGGACCCAAAAAAAGCACTTGTGAGAAACTGGGGAAAGAGCTGGGCTCTAGATTTTTTTAGCTACAGGATAATTGCAGCCCTGTACAACTTCCTTATTTCTTATCTTTACACTCACCCCCCTGGTCTTAGCGTTGGCAAAGTGGTTTGTGTTGGGGTGGGGTTTTTTTTCAGTTGTTTAGTTGTTTTTTAAGAGAAGCATCATGTAAATTTAACACTTTCCCCGAGTGTTACAGCAATACCTGGTACCTTTTCTCCCCCCATCCCGTTTCTCTACTGAAAACGTTCTTGTACTTACAGACACGTTCATATTCTACAGGTGAAGGTTGCTTGTAAGCTGCTGCTGATGCTTTGAGGAGGTCTATAAATCATTTGCCATGTTGATAATCATCAGCCATTTGTTTTTATAAGTATCTTTTACATCAGAGCTCATGTTCTTTCACGTGGTTGGTTGTATTTTGCAGTTAGGGGCTTCGGTATATTTTTAAGGCAACCAAAAAGCATTTTAGTTTTTTTCCTGTTTTTTAGAGTCAGTTAGTGTGCTGGTATTCAGGAATATAAAATTGCAGTGACATGCACTACTCTTGTTTTCTAAAAATTCTGAAAGTCTTATGGTTTGTGCTTAGATTCGCTGGGATGGTACTGGTGCTGTTTTCAAACTATATTTACTTTTAAATTTTTTTTTTCCCTGCCATTGCTGTAGATGCTATAAGTTCCAGTAATCCACGTGTCATAGACGATGCCAGAGCGAGGAAGTTATCAAATGATCTCAAGAGATGCACTTACTACGAAACCTGTGCTACGTATGGACTCAACGTGGAAAGAGTCTTCCAAGATGGTAAAGATTTACTTCCTTCATCCAGCGTGTCACACAGTATTGTAGCTGGTTTTCTAAATATTGACAAATGTCTCCCGGCTCAGGTACTTGCCTGTTTTGCAAATATTCATTAATGTTTAATTAAAGGCGATGCTCGATTTTTAGGGATTTATTTTGTAATACCGGCTTAAGTGAATTAGAGGGCTCATTAGCTTAATGGCACGTGCATGGTGGTCTGTTCCTTACCAGCACCTTTAGTCTAAAGTATCTTAATCTACTTGATTTAGTCGTCATTTATTTTTCAGTTTTCTTTGGTGCTTGCTTTTAGCAAAATTTATTTTGATTTAGTGCTTGTGGAGGTGCAGAGAAGCTATTTGTGCGAAGTAGTTGAAAATTGTTTTCCACCCTTGAGAAATTCAGAATAAATGGAGAAAATAGGAATAGAGTAATCATGAGAAGTCACGCGTGGCATTCATGGGGTGTTGGAAGCTGGCACTCTTGTGTGTAGGTTTAGAAGGAAAGTAAGGTGATTTAAAACACCATTAGGAGGAATCTTCTAGTTTTCCATATCGGAGTCATTTGGGATCATCGTGTATCATCTCAAAAAAAGGAATATCAAAAGTGCTTTGGGACCATCTGTTAAATATTTTGGATCAGTTACCCTTTGGAATAACTTTTATGTTGGGAGAAGCTGTTCTAACTTTGTCTTTGCTGCATGAGATGGGCTTCGTGCACCCTCTAGTGGAAATTCAGCCGGGTGTCCTGGGGCTTTGCGGCATCCTGGGGGGCATCAGGAAGAGTGTGAGCAGCAGGTGGAGGGAGGTCATCCTGCCCCTCTGCTCTGCCCTGGGGAGGCCCCATCTGGAGCAATGGGACCAGTTCTGGGCTCCCCAGTTCCAGAAGGACAGGGAACTGCTGGAGAGGGTCCAGCAGAGGCTACAAAGATGATGAGGGGCCTGGAGCATCTCTCTTATGAGGAGAGGCTGGGGGACTTGGGTCTTTTTAGTCTGGATAAGAGAAGGCTGAGGGGGGATCTGATCAATGCTTATAAATACTTAAAGGGTGGGTGTCAAGAGGATGGGGCCAGTCTTTTTTCAGGGGTGCCCAGGGACAGGACAAGAGGAAATGGGTACAAACTTGAATATAGGAAGTTCCACCTCAACATGAGGAAGAACTTCTTTGCTGTGAGGGTGGCAGAGCCCTGGCAGAGGCTGCCCAGGGAGGTGGTGGAGTCTCCTTCTCTGGAGACATTCCAACCCCACCTGGACACGTTCCTGTGGGACCTGCTCTGGGTGACCCTGCTTTGGGAGGGGGTTGGCCTAGATGATCTCCAGAGGTCCCTTCCAACCCCATACCATTCTGTGATTCTGTGAATGTCTTGTGGGTGCATTTAAATCAAGGTTTGAGACAGTCATTTCTGCTGAGTTTCCTGGATCCAGTCTTTGGTGTGACTTTGCAAGGTCAGCAGGTACAACCTGTGAAATACATGAAGAAATCTCCATTTTACATTAAACTGGCAGGTGTTTGCCACGTGTGCTGCGGGGTCAGGGGCAGGGGTTAGCAGAGAGCTTTGCTGGTGGCTGGCTGTGCCTGGGCAAAACACTGAGAGAATGGGTCTGGAAAAGGGGAGGGACCCAAAAAAAGCACTTGTGAGAAACTGGGGAAAGAGCTGGGCTCTAGATTTTTTTAGCTACAGGATAATTGCAGCCCTGTACAACTTCCTTATTTCTTATCTTTACACTCACCCCCCTGGTCTTAGCGTTGGCAAAGTGGTTTGTGTTGGGGTGGGGTTTTTTTTCAGTTGTTTAGTTGTTTTTTAAGAGAAGCATCATGTAAATTTAACACTTTCCCCGAGTGTTACAGCAATACCTGGTACCTTTTCTCCCCCCATCCCGTTTCTCTACTGAAAACGTTCTTGTACTTACAGACACGTTCATATTCTACAGGTGAAGGTTGCTTGTAAGCTGCTGCTGATGCTTTGAGGAGGTCTATAAATCATTTGCCATGTTGATAATCATCAGCCATTTGTTTTTATAAGTCTCTTTTACATCAGAGCTCATGTTCTTTCCCGTGATTGTTTGTATTTTGCAGTTAGGGGCTTCAGTATATTTTTAAGGTAACCAAAAAGCATTTTAAGTTTTTTTCCTGTTTTTTAGAGTCAGTCAGTGTGCTGGTATCCAGCAATAAAGTGTAAAATTGCAGTGACGTGCACCACTCTCCTTTTCTAAAAATTCTGAAAGTCTTATGGTTTGTGCTTAGATTCCTTGGGACAGTACTGGTGTTGTTTTCAAATTATATTTAATTTTTTTTTTTTTTTTCTGTATTCAGGAATATAAAATTGCAGTGACATGCACTACTCTTGTTTTCTAAAAATTCTGAAAGTCTTATGGTTTGTGCTTAGATTCGCTGGGATGGTACTGGTGCTGTTTTCAAACTATATTTACTTTTAAATTTTTTTTTTCCCTGCCATTGCTGTAGATGCTATAAGTTCCAGTAATCCACGTGTCATAGACGATGCCAGAGCGAGGAAGTTATCAAATGATCTCAAGAGATGCACTTACTACGAAACCTGTGCTACGTATGGACTCAACGTGGAAAGAGTCTTCCAAGATGGTAAAGATTTACTTCCTTCATCCAGCGTGTCACACAGTATTGTAGCTGGTTTTCTAAATATTGACAAATGTCTCCCGGCTCAGGTACTTGCCTGTTTTGCAAATATTCATTAATGTTTAATTAAAGGCGATGCTCGATTTTTAGGGATTTATTTTGTAATACCGGCTTAAGTGAATTAGAGGGCTCATTAGCTTAATGGCACGTGCATGGTGGTCTGTTCCTTACCAGCACCTTTAGTCTAAAGTATCTTAATCTACTTGATTTAGTCGTCATTTATTTTTCAGTTTTCTTTGGTGCTTGCTTTTAGCAAAATTTATTTTGATTTAGTGCTTGTGGAGGTGCAGAGAAGCTATTTGTGCGAAGTAGTTGAAAATTGTTTTCCACCCTTGAGAAATTCAGAATAAATGGAGAAAATAGGAATAGAGTAATCATGAGAAGTCACGCGTGGCATTCATGGGGTGTTGGAAGCTGGCACTCTTGTGTGTAGGTTTAGAAGGAAAGTAAGGTGATTTAAAACACCATTAGGAGGAGAATAAATGGAGAAAATAGGAATAGAGTAATCATGAGAAGTCACGCGTGGCATTCATGGGGTGTTGGAAGCTGGCACTCTTGTGTGTAGGTTTAGAAGGAAAGTAAGGTATCTTCTAGTTTTCCATATCGGAGTCATTTGGGATCATCGTGTATCATCTCAAAAAAAGGAATATCAAAAGTGCTTTGGGACCATCTGTTAAATATTTTGGATCAGTTACCCTTTGGAATAACTTTTATGTTGGGAGAAGCTGTTCTAACTTTGTCTTTGCTGCATGAGATGGGCTTCGTGCACCCTCTAGTGGAAATTCAGCCGGGTGTCCTGGGGCTTTGCTGTCTAGTGTTTCTTGTTAGTAAATTTCTTTTTGAATGCTAGCTATAATTAGATTTTATAATGATATATTCCAAGTCGTGGTGATTGTGGATCTTTGTACAGTCTACTTCTCTTCCCCCCCCTCCCCAACACACAACCCCAACTCTCAGGGACCTTTTGAGAGAGAAATCTCTTGGCACAAAGCTAAGTGTGATAAACTTATTTGTCTCTCTGCTAAATTTCAGCAGTAAGTAGAAAGGATTGAAAAAGATTGTTGTGTTTGAGAAATATCAAGGTTTTGTTTTACCTACATGGCAGCCAACCAACCGTTTATCGTTTGCCAATAGGATTAGGAATGCTTCTGTATAAATGTGTTACAGTTGCCAGACATGTCTGGGACTTAATCCAACTCCTGATCATTTTTGCTGTTTATTTCAGCAGGAAATAAAGCGACTTCTTAACCCCATTATGCGAGGGGATGTGAATGAAGGGTGCAAGTTTGTTAATAGGGAGTGCTTGACTAAATGAGGCTTGATTTCTGCAACTCCGGGATGTTCAGGTTGAATGTAGGCTTAATGATGTTTTTATAGTCTATATGCAGACCTTTGAAAGGCAAAGGGGGGAAGAAAAGTTTTCAAGAAAACTTCCAAATTCTCCTTGCTTTAGAAAAAGGTTGTGAAATGTCACTGTAATGTGTATATTTGGGAGGGTTGCCACTTGGCACCAGCCAGGCTGTAGATGCTGGCTATATCAATCACCATTGTTTTAATGACCATTAATAGTGTGAAAGCCTTTGACTAATGACAATTACTTTACTTTTTCGGCAAAAAAATAGTTTACTACTTTGGTGAAAGTGTATTCAATAGGAAATTAGAGCTAGTGTGATGAAATGTATGCAGGTTTTACACACTCGCTGCAATTTTGTTCCAAATTGTGTGTTGATAGGCATGGAATTTAAAATGTATATAACCACACCTGATGTTCTGCAATACAACCTTTTGAGGGACAGTCTCTTAGGTCCCCCTCAATGAACTTTTGAGCCCTTGCTCAGAAGCAAGCAGCACACAGCATGGGTTAATAACTTCTCTTTGAGTTCAGATTCTCTCCAGAATAAATGAAGTCACTTATCCAACATCAGAAAGCCTAGTCTGACTTGGAAAAAAAACCATGTATTGATGTAAATATTGTCAATGGACAAGGAAAAGAAGGGATGAGGGGCAGGAGGAACAGTCTGACATCTTCACATAGTGTGGTCTTAAGTATCTCTTACTGTTTGAGGAAACCTTGAGTCCTTGCTAGTAGCCTTCATTAAATAAACTACATTTTTCAGCAAACTTGAAAGGAGTACAGGCCAATTAATGCATTTCATTAATAGTTGAATGGATAAGATTGGTTTTTTATTGTGCGTAGCTGAGGAATAGTAGTTGTAGACAGGTTAGTAGCTGTATGCAAGACACAGAGCTACTACACCTATTAAGACTACTTTCTCTGTATTGAAATTGTTTTTAGAATCATAGAATTGTCCAGGTTGGAAGGGACCTTTAAGATCATCGAATCCAACCATCAACCTAACTCTGATAAAAAAACCTCACTAAACCATGTCTCTAAGCTGTGTCTTCTAATACTGTCCCTGGAGGTATTAAACTTTGCTGCCAGCTGGATGGATATTTCCTCTTGGGATTTAGGGTTAGGATTTAATAGCTATTTGTTATATTCCAGGGTAGGTGATGCTTGGTGTTTAGATGCTGCAGGTGTTTGGTGGGTCACTGAGGCTATTTCAGCCTGTTGACCAAGGCTTTGAACACTTCACTTTTTTAAAATTTTTAGAATAATGTTGATGGCCATGGGTTGTGTATTGTAGGTTTTTGATGTTGTTGTTGTTTAAATGTGGATATTGCAGCAGATGCAATAGGTGAGATTGGGTTTGGTTTAGTTATGTCAACTTTAGTGCTCTCATTTTGCACACTCCTATTTTAGTCAAGTCAAACACTATGTGATGGCTTGCATCAGCTGGGATTTACATGCATAATTTCTGATCCAAATGCACCCTGTTCTTCCTCTCCCCTTTCTGTTTTTCAGGAACTTTGAATTGCCAGTGATTTGGTAAAACTGAAACTGTTCCGTAAACTTCCATTGTCCTGTCACCTGTCCCTGTTACCAGTTCAAGTTACAGTAGACTTGTCTCTAACACACCAATTACTAGTTCGGTTACAAAGGGTGCTCTTTTACAAGCTTTTTCTAAAATCTTTCTTGTTTCTGTTTTGTGCCTCAATGTGATGTAGACCTACCTTTCTGGGGAAGAAATTGGAAATGACATTGAAGGGTCTTTTACTCCATTGCACACGCGTTAGAAATTAAATTTCTAATTTTTTCACTCTGTAAATGGCTGCTTATTGTAACTCATTTCCTATTTTCCCCACAGTTGAGTGGTAGAATAATTTAAATTGAATGATTATGACTGCTTATTGTAACTCATTTCCTATTTTCCCCCACAGTTGAGTGATAGAATAATTTAACTTGAATGATTATGATGATGAAAACGCTGCTTTCTTTAGTTAAATCCAAATACATTGTTTACAGTGCTTGATTACAGTTGATAAGCTCCCTATTGATTGTAACGGTATAGAATCATAGAGTCATTTAGGTTTGGAAATGATGGTTCTAAGATCATAGACTCTGTAGGTTCATATTTTGTAATAACAAACTGCTTGACAGTAATATTTCACTTTCATGCACAGAAACTTTTTGTGAAGGTCAGTGTGTAGTTAATGTACATCCATGTGGTTTTTGAGAACTGGTTTTTAATGCTTGAAGAAACTGAAAACTAATTTGTAAACAGTAGATGTCAGGATGGTTATTCTTAGTTCTTTGTGCGTATGATCAATCACTCGTTTTCTGATGACCCTAATAATAATTTACAAATGAAAGTGCCTAATTTGTAGTGTCATAGAGCCTGTAATTTCCCCAGTGTGATAAGGATTCAGGCATCCTGTGAGGTGATGGTCAGCTGTTTTGTGTTAAAGTTTGTACCCTAAAGTGACGCAGGATTTTGAACGTTTTTAGAGGGCTGTTTGTAACTTTTAGCATTTTCCCACTTTGGTCTAATCTCTGCCACTTTGGAGTCAGAGCTGCACGAGCAGGCTCTGAATGTCAGGCTGAAATAAAAAAAGAAAACTTCCAGGTGCCAGGGAATTAGCTTAATAACGTGCCCAATGATGGAGGGGGATCCCGCTTATCAGAATGGATTTTATCAATGACATTGGCAATGATTATTTTAATATTTCTTGTCAGCACAGTATTGTAATGACTGTGTACTGCCCCAGGATGCCTTCTTAATGATTTTAGCCTTATTGAATTAGCTTGATGTACCATTAATGCATAAGAATGACTTTTATTTTTGTTCATGATGTATTCATAATTACATGTCTTTCCCTGCTTTACGTTCAGATTTTCTTTGACCCATTTAACTGTCTGCTGTGCAATTTTCTGACATGGCAGAGGAGAAGCAAATATTCAAATATTTAGAGGAGAAAATTTTACCATCAATAGAGCTTGCATCACTGGGTGTGAAACAAAAGGGTTTGAATGTAATTTCCATTCAGAGTTGAGCTGTTAGTGTAGTTTAGTGGTCCACTTTGATCACTAGCAGGTCTACAACCAAAGCAGAAGATATTTAGGTCTTTCAACATAAACTTTCAGGATGGAGATACCCTTTCTATTGCTGTGGTTACTTCTCTAACTCTGTATGTGTGAGGCAAAACGATAGGGCCTGGAGAATAAATCTTTTGAAGAGCAATTGAGGGAGCTGGGACTGTTTAGTTTGAGGAAGAGGAGGCTGAGGGGAGACCTCATCACTCTCTACAACTACTTGAGAGGACATTGTAGAGAGGTTGGTGCTGGTGTCTTCACACAGGTAATTAGTGACAGAACGAGAGGGAATGGATTCAAGCTGCAACAGGGTGGGTTTAGACTGGACGTTAGGAAGGAATTCTTGACAGAAAGAGTGGTCAGACACTGGAACAGGCTGCCCAGGGAGGGGGTTGAGTCCCCATCCCTGAATGTGTTGAAGAGTCGTTTAGATGTGGTGTTGGGGGATATGGTGTAGGGGAGAACTTTGTAGAGTGGGGTTGATGGTTGGACTCGATGATCCCAAAGGTCT